ACAATGAGCAAGACAAGACCAATGGCCTCTCGATAACTTGTCATCGATACAAATGTCGTCGATATCTTTGTAACAGAGTAAACGGTACATTTTAAATTTGTAAGAAAATGATCTATTGAATTTTCCAGGTATGGCAATGTTGTTGCTATCAACATTGATGACCTATATTACTATATCGACAGTCTATTGACACTGTGAATTTATGTTAGTAGAATACTGATATTTTGTACACCAATATCAACGGCATCTCAATAGTGTGTCAATGGAAAGACAGTGGCTTGGCTTTAACATAAAATAGCTGAATTGAGGCTCTGGACTTCAATTAATGAGTAGGATAAGAACCGATCACAGACGACAATGTGCTCTTGAAAGATCAATTCCAGTATTTTATCTTTTTTAACAAGCTTAAACTAGAACTGTTTTAAACTAACTTCCCAAGTTAAATTAAAACCTATAAATTGCAGGTTTTTGGTTCAAGATTCTCTTGTTCTTAAACTATGAAAGGCTTCATAAACCTATTTACGATTTTCCTAGGTTTATACTTTCAATGAGTTCAAAAATAGAATTAATGAATCCAAGTACTCCAAAACTTCTCAACACCAAGATGGAATGTCTTAAGCTAATTTATGGGGTCTAAGTCTTTACTTTTATTGACCCATCATCAAAACTTCACTAACTTGTAATGGTTCTAGATGCTTTCGAGTTCTCAACAAGTACATCAAGAATGCAGTGAAGTTCATCTCAATGTTAGGCAACTAAACTTGGTAAGTTTCGTCCAAAGTTATTGGTGCTAGACGATTCCCTTCACGATAAAACCAACATTTTAAAATACTGGTTTCTAAAAATAGGTATCTGTATGTAGATTGTTGTAAAAATTTAGTAAAAGTTGTTGATATTGCATTTTGTGGTTGCCACTACATTATTACATGACATATTAGTTTTTCTATTAATAACTGATCCCATTTAGTTTAAATTAGACTTGCAACGAATATTCGGTTACTATTCGGTATTCGGCCTATTCGGCTGCTTTTATTATATTCGGCCGAATACCGAATATCTACATATTATTCGGCCGAATACCGAATACTTAAATAATATATTTTGTCATTGAGAAATAATTGGTAAAATGAAAAATTAAAATCGATTGATTACGTATATATTCATATTTTCATTTCTGTTATAATCATTTAAGTAGTTATTGGTGCATAACACAGGTACATAATCATCTTCTGAATTGGAAAAATGGAGGATTCTATGTATTTGAATTATTGTGGTAATCAAAATTTAGAAGGGTAAGGTTCTCATTTCTTTTATAATCATTTATTAAGTAGTCATTGGTACATAAAACAGGTACATAATTTAATTCACGTCTGTACAAGTTTTTGGCGCTCAAATCCAGCCGAATACTTTTGCCTAATATTCGGCTATTCGGTCAGGGGCCTCGCCGAATATTCGGTATTCGGTATACTGCCGAATATACTATTCGTTGCAAGTCTAGTTTAAATCTATTCTTAATTTATCCCTTACCAAAATGTTTTTATAAAAAAGATATGTGAGGGTCAACTCTATCTGTAGCAGCAATTGATGAACTTACAGACATCTGTCTTGCATCAACGCCATTGTGTATTTCAAATGTTTTAGGAACTAGTCTCTTTTCTTGTACTGTTTCCCTTATGTGGGGCATCTCAAATCCATTATGTCGCCAGAGTTGTTGGTGTAATCTTTTGGTGGACAGTTCTTCCGTCCCCTAGTACATCTAACTAGAAGTAACCAAAAACATTTTACTACCAATTGAACAAATACTTAACAAATTGGAATTAAATTTGATAATATTATTTTACCAAATCCCAGTAAATTCCTACATCTGCAACTAAAATAAAAAACTTCTTAAAACTGAAAATGTATCACAATTGCAATGAAATATTTTTTCTAAATAAAATGGCTTATACTATGTATTAACATTGTTGTGAGTTGATTGAAGTTGATAAAAGATATTTTAGATAATTAGTGAAAGATGTTGGATTACAACAATCATCTAAATTTTATAGATTTAATTTTTCTGCATCTTGCCTGCTACTGAAGCTTAACTTATGAAAAGGTACAGTCAGGATCAATAATATCTGTTCAAAGTATGCATATAAAAATGTGTTACAATATGAATATTCTGAAACTAGACCATCACAAAAGTCAGGATCAATAATATCTGATCACAATATGCATATAAAAATATGTTACAATATCCATATTCTAAAACTAGACAATTACAAAACAACTATATCAAGCATCCTTAAATGAAGAGCAGTAAGTATAAAAAAAACGGTTAAGTGCGAGTCGGACTCACGCACGAAGGGTTCTGTACCATTTTCTATAAAAATTGCAAAAAAAAAGACGTTTGATGTGTGGGAGCCCCCTTAAATATTTGTTTTATTTCAATTTAACTATTTATTTTTAAAGTGAACATATAACTAAATATTCTGCGACTATTTCAAGCATTTACCCTTTGCTGTTTTCAAAAACGAGCAAAAAAATCATGTTTGTTCTAAGGAGGCTCCCTTAAATATTTACTTTATTCTGTTTTTGAGAAAGACATGATCTGTGAAAATTTCAACTGCCTAACTATCACGGTTCATGAGATTCAACCTGGTGACTGACAGACAGAGGGAGGAACAGACAAGGTCTTAATAATTGGGTCCTGTTTTACCCTTTGGGTATGGAACCCTAACAAACATGTGGTTATTGACATGAAATAACCACATGTTTGTTGACAAAGGATTTTATTTAAATAAAAATGTGTCTTAAATACAGTTGTGTCATGTCAATAAATATTAAATGTCAAATAAAAATTCCTCAAAAAAATTGATATATTATAATATCCACACATATATTGTGCAATAAATAATTTTAAATACAATAATAAGTTTATTTACAAATAATGACCAAATATAGATAGTTATATTTAGTTTATATATTTGTGCAAAATACCAAATTCAAATGCAGTAACTCATTTTGCAGATCACATCTTCCTTTGAAATTAAAAGTCACATAATTATGAGAGAATTGTATGTAAGACAAAGTTATCTTATACCTAATTTCCATTTGAAAATCATAAACATAGATGTAATAGTGTCATTCAAATACAAAATATCAATCATTCATCAAATCAAAACTAATAATTTCAATTCTTTTTAAAAAAGTTTACATACACAATCTTGTAGTAAAAAAATTTTGTAGAGCCATTGCAAAATAATTGTTTATACATTTTGTTTGATATTGTAGGCTTTTTATCTTTTCTTTGAACTCTTCAATGGACACATATTTTCTTTGAACATTAATAATTGAACTCTTCAATGGACACATATTCTGAGGCAATTAGACACATGTTTCAGGTAGTATTATTGTTAGATATGTCTGATCTTACATGGTATATTTACATATATAGCTACAAATATAAATATATTTATGATCCTGACTAAAATATAAACTTTTTTCTTTACATGTGCCTTTTATATTAGCTACGTGAAATAAGAATTTTATTAATATCTTTTGTGGGTTGTACTTTAATTGCAAAGTAATAGCTTTTTAGTAAATGTATAATTATGTAGAAGGTGCTTTTGGCATTATTATCAAGCCATGACTTACTGAGAAGTTAATTACATACAATCAATTAATAAATAGGCAGTAGGAAATATCTTAAAAATAGTTTTATGTTTACAACTTGTTGTTAAAAGGTTGAGTTCCAATATTTATTTATACACTTGATCATAACATCTTAACTTTTTGGTCCAAAAACATTATAATGAAATGTGATGCTTAGTCAGAAATCTTGATGTGAACATTTACAAAATTGTTACAAATGAATAAAATTGAAGTTCAAACACTTTAATTGCAAAGTAATAGGTTTTTAGTAAATGTATAATATGTAGAAGGTGCTTTTGGTATATTTTTTATCTATGTTTGTCAGTTTGTTCATGTATATAATAATGTAATATACCATATATATATTATAAGAAACCTTAATAAAATTCTCATTACTGCATCAAACATTAGTGAGCCATATTACCATTGCGAGTGTTAATTTTCAACATAGAAGAATTCAATGCAAGTAAATTGCTGTCCATGGAACAAATACACATGACAAACGAAGTGTACAGTATAAATAAAGTACCTAGTCAGGTTTAGATGTGTGTTATTTCAATGAGTATATTTTTATGTGTGCAAATTGTAAATAGTTTCTTCACTCATACATTTGCATGTTTTAAAACCATTCTAAGGAGTTTCAATTTTTCTTGTAATAGTTCAATAAATCATAGGTACTTCAAACTACTGACCAGCTATTTTATTTGCTGTGTGATTTGCTAAGGACTTCAATATGACCTCTAAACTAATGTATTAATATGAAAAATAAGTAGGATACAGGTATGGAAGAGAGGATAAATGTGTGACAAAGTCACTTAGCCGAAAAGTACCAACAGCAGCTGGAAGATATCAATTTGTAAAAAACAGATGCAACTCAGATAGACCAGTAAATTATTTATTTCTCGAACATGACAAATAAGCCACATTAGAAATACTGCTGATCAAGGATTGTTTTCCTGTTTCCCATTCATATTTATGCATAAAGACGCAAATGCTAACAAAATACAAGTTGATACAATATTCTGACAGATATTATCACAACCATAAATGATAACAAAATTCTGTATATTAAGAAAGTAACCTGAGCTTTTCACAGTCAGGAATTACCCTTTGGAAAGCATATTGTTATAATAATAATATACTAACATATAGCATATTAAGCACTGGAGTATTAATTGTAGTACTTTTTTATACAAAGTTTATTTATAAATTCTATTATGAAATGGGAATTTGCAAGAATTACACTCATCTCACAACTTGAAAACCTATGTGTGAATCCAAAGATGTATTAGGTGTTAGATACAGAGGTATCATCATAATTGTTCTTATAAATTTCATGACCAAATTTAAGATAATAAACTTACCGTAGAATTTCTATATGGGCTCTGTGGGTTGTAAGGCGCCATAGGCCTGTGCTGCGGCCAACCAGGAGCTGGGCCATAGCCCGCTGGAGGCTGCTCATAACTATTAGGATAACGGTGAGGCGGTGCCCCACTCGACTGCAATAACGAGTTGAGCGTAGGCGTGGGGCCGGGCGCCTGCGACACTGATTGTCCAGGGAAAAAGCGCGGTTGTTGCGAAGGAGGCCGTGATTTGCCGGGAAATCCAGGCCGAGACGCATAGTAAGCTTCCGCACTTTCAGGATATCTATACTGGCCGTACTGGTCTGTAACTGGCCTTTCACCGCCTCGATCGTGACCGGGCACGTCGCCACCGTCGCGTGGCTGCCCCGGTTCGGCCGACATCGGCGATTTACTCTTTGTGTTCACGACGCCATCGGGCGGAACGCGCCCGACGGATTTGTCGGTGCCGTTTTGTAACAAAGCGTTCCGAGATTCACTGAGCTGCTCCGATGGATTCTGCTCAACGTTCGCTTCGCTACGCTGAGTCTCTGCCTGCGTCGCAGCCATGTTCGGCTGACAACGGCCGTCCCTGCTTACACTGGCTCTAGTGATCGACCGGCTCGCTTACGTTACATCGGAATTGGGCGTCGGATTACAAAACCGCGACGCGGACACTTCCATCACTGACAAGACGCTTTACTTTACACAAATTGTAACGCGAAACGGACGAAATATCGTTCACCGACGCACACACATCGATCACATATCTACTCCATTGGCGTAAACGAGGTTAGGGAAAAGGTTACATATCTAGCAGGCGCTTTTGTCACGCTATAACTAAACATTTCATATCACTATCACGTTTTTAACACTCCGTATACGTTCACTTATGACAAAACTCATCCCCAAACTCGCAAGCAAGTAAAATACTCAAAAACAGAACAATAGAATCACGAAACTTCCAAAATTATTGGCGTCCGCCATTACGGACTTGAAATTCTGCGCTTGACGACGCTTCTGACTATGTTCACTCTGGTTACAAAAAAATAAATGTGGTACAATTTGTAATCATAGATAACATAAACTAACTTTTACTCATTTTTAGATGAGTTTAAGATTCAATTAGTCTAACTTGTTAGTTAGTTATTTTCTAATTCAAGTATTTTAACTCAAAATTGTATGTGCATGTTTACATTTTCGTACTATTGCGACCACGTAGTTACTACAGTGCTACCAACATAAAACATGTTATTTAGTGACATGTTCCGCTGGCGCCAAGGCTTTTGTGACTAACTTCATTTCAAATAATAAAAACTTAATTTTGGTTAATATAGCCTGTATAGTAATTTTCATTTTTAGTTTAATGAAAAATTAATATTATAAAAAATATTAAGATTTATGAGTACAACACCCGAAAGAACTAACGGCAGTGTTAATAATTTGTTAAGGTTGCACTTTGAAAACCCTAGTTTCCTTTTTCAATACCAACATTAGAATTGCCACCATTTTAACGCATAGAGAATAAATGAATGTTATGTGACTGCAAATTGTACATCAGTTGCTAATTAAATAATATTAATCTCATTGAGTTCTAATTATAAAAAATATTTTATTTATTTCAAAATTAATAAGAAAATCATTATTGCAGCTATATCTCAAATTTAAGTTTAAAAAAATAAATATGTTCATCAGAAGGATCCTGCTCGTTAGTAATAAAAGGCTAATAAATTAAAACACGACCAAAATACCATATCCAAAAATTATATAGTTATTTGTGGCATATATTATAATATTCTTTGTTGTTCAAAAACAAACAAGATAAGTTATTGTGAGATTTTAAATCTTATTTTGCAACAAATAAAACTAGATCTATGGTGACTGTAAAGGTAATTTTTTTAAACAATTTAGTAGATATCTGGCACTTCCATAAATCCATCCTTTAATAACATTTCCTATTTACTGAAATTATAAATAAAAAGACTCAAAAATAGAAACTAACTTACAAATTGTGTTGCATTTCTTCTACGTTCAGACCATAGATTTAAGACTAAAAAAAAACTAATAAAACTCATTATTTAGAGAGGGCCCTTCGACCAGACGAAGTGATCATGCCTGGCGGGTCCCGACCCAACGGTTGATATTGGAAAGTTGTATATATGCTTATCGGCAAGAGAAATGCTCATATCGCGATACAGGATTAGATAAGGAGTAGGTCAGTTTGTGTCTTCGATAGATGACGCTGAAGTATGTTTCTTAGTTGAATTATTTGTGAAAGAAGCCACAGAAATATGGTTTAAGAAACTAGCTCTAAGCAAAGAATTATTCTTTTGCAACAAAACTCTGGGCACTCTAAGATCGTTCGAATAACCCTCTATTGCGGCTGTGTCGGGTGAACCTCGTGCTCGGAATGAAAAACTGTTTGATTTTAAGGTGACGATTAAAACTAAAATTATAAATTATTTGTATATATTTATTATATATTTTAGCGCGCAGACTCAATAGTGTTAGTAATACTTACGTCTATGTTAGTAATAATATATCTACGTGACAGCACACCAGCGACCCACATACGTACAATCCAGCCTATTCGATATCATGCGTAGGATGCTGTTAGGGCTGGCTCGAACATTGCACACCAGGGAAGCACACCTCTTCCGTATCGTTGCGTAAATGCAGTCTATGTATTCGTCAGCAAACATCCCCGATGCGCTACAGAATCGGGGCAGCCACACTAGGATCCTGAACGCATTGTTATATTGTACACTCTCTGTTTATACTGGCTGATTTAAAAAAAGAAACTTTTCGATTGTTTTGTTTTTATTCAAATAGAAGCTAATTATTATTTGCCCGATTTCGTATGGTTTCGTTGATTAATAAATTTGGTATTTCCACCAAATTGACTGTATTCTTAATCCGTGTGGTGACGGATTAAGAATACAAATTGTCACCACCCCAATTAATCCCGTGGGTGTCTTAACAGCCGACTAAGGCAGCAAACTAAGCAGGACAACAGCACTGCAAAGAGAAGGAAAACTTGAAACAAACCCTATACCAACCCGTCTGGCCAGCGTGGATAGTAGGACAAAACCTCTTTTCTAAGGAGAGGCCTATGTCCAGCAGTGGACTAGTATAGGCTATTGATGACCAAATTGACCACGATTCGTCGTTCGTCGTACCGGTTCAGGCCCAGATGATGTGTCATTGATGGGAGGTGGCTTTTCAAAGAGCACTTCCGACAGCTTACTCCAGAGCTAGTCGGCACTGCGTCTGCCCTTGGGTGATTTTTGCCTAATTTGGGTGGACCTAGCATCGCGACAAGACGGCTGTACACGGGGTTGTCCGGCCAATGGCAGTGTAGGGCCACCGGTGTAGATGGCGGCTCTTGCCGCCTAGATAAGGGCACACCTCTGGCGCCCTCCGAGGGTAGTCGGGCGGCCCCCGAAGAGGTACGCGAGTGGCACGAGGTCGCTTGCCAAACCACGATGGCTCGTTGGTCGTCCTGGCGGGTGGCTCCACGTGCTAGTTTTGCCGTAATAGAGGCGCTGCAGCCGGTTATCGTCAAGTATGCAGGGCGGTAGCACAGGACCTTTTCCTTCCGACTGATGCAGGATCAGCAAAGGACCTCCTTTCCGTGCACGGCTTATGGGTGGACGTTTAGATGCAACTCTTTCGTGATAAGAGTTGTGGCTATATTGATTTAAAAAATATTTTCACACTTCAATCGAAATAAGTAGATATTTCTTACAGTCAGAAAGCGTTGGTGCGCGGGGTCCCCAAATGCTCGGGGTCCGTAGCATTTGCTAGTCTTGCTACGTGGCTAATCCGCCACTAGGTATGGGCGGGTATTAGGAAGAACAGACGAACTGAGCTCGATTTTGTAGATGACAATATGAACGCTGAAACTTACGTTAAAGATGCCCTCGGGCTCGGGTCTTATGGTTACCCATTAGCATAAAGTTTTGCTTCAGATTTCAAGGTGATGCATGAAAATGCGAGTTCACATATAACCTGGAGGACCAGAGAGTACTTGGCAATGGAAACCATCTGGGTATTGCCGTTGCCTGCACAATCGCCAGACCTCAATTCCATCGAGCACGTATGGGACATGATCCAGATACGTGTTCTAGAGAAGCTGGACAAAGTGTCGAGAATCCAACAACTGAAACCCTTGTTAAAATTCTATTAGGAACGATTGACACAGGATCATATACACAATCTTATAAATTCAATGAAAAATCGTTGCCGACAAGTTTTAAACAACAGCGGCGGTTACACTTTGTATTCAATTACCAAATAATTGAAAAAATGCCGTTATTTAATTACGTAAAACATGAAAAGTTTGATTTCGTTTTACTTTATTTTATACTAGGTACTTACGTAGTATAAAATAAAGTTTTAAAAATTACCGTAACTTATAAGTACACACATATTTTTAGTTATTGTGATTAAATGAATAATCGAATGAAGGATTTTGTTGCTTTGGGCACTAATGCATCAAAGAATGCTTAGTTATTATTTATGAAAGAAATATAAATTTATAATACGAGTAATAGTAAAAATCGTGCAAAAGCTCAAAACCGTACATCTTGCTTAGACTTTTTTTATGTGAACTGACTGTCAGTTTTTATTTTTGCGTCTGTTGTTGTACAGGTCGTTTTACTTAATGCCAAGTTTTCATATGTTTTTACTTGTACTCTTACTCTTCACTCGCACCAGGATTTTGCTTCTAACGAATCCGACTTTAATTTAAAAAAGTCTGTAAACCCTGAATATAATAGGGGATTTATGCTTATTGTACAAGTAATACTTTAAGTCAGTACTAGTCTAGTTTGAAAACTTAGTTTCGTTTTTTTTGAAAGACTACTCCCTATTCCTACTAGGAATATCTCCTGTGTCGCAGGGACTTTGCAAACATTCATGAACCGGACACAAAAACACCCATACTCAGAACAACAATTTGTGGATCACACAGTGTTGTTCCATGTTGCGTCGAACCCACAACACTCAGCGCAGTAGGAAGCGGCGAGGTGACCGTTTAAACCACTACCCAATTGCCCAGTTTTATAAAGATGAAGTTATATGTGCTGTTATTATTTTTTCCTGAACCTGACAGATATTCACCACCAATGTGATAGATAGCAGACGCTGACGTTATCCTGGAGTGTGGGGCAGTGGCCACACAGCGGTCAAGTATACTTCTCGATAGAAGCCTGCGAACTGCGATATCGTCTATGCTTCTGGAAGGACCATGGCTGGCTCACATAGCCAACCTCACCAACGCACATAAAGAACCGTTTATGGATCTCAATTATGAAATTGGAGGGGGACCTCAAATTCCATATTTGATACCAATTCTAATGGCAATAATATGGTGATCCTTCACCATAATAGAAATATGTGTCCACCTTTGTTCTGCAGTTCAAAGGAAAGGAAAAGAGCAAAAAAATAATTACGCATTTTAAAACTTGATTTATTTTCATGTCTTCGTTATACAGTATTTGTTAATTTGTTTTGCAAAAATATTGTTATTCTTTACCAATGTTATAAGACCAATACTTTACCTGAAACACTTGCTAACGGCATTGTAATGAACACAAGGATTATATTGCTACTCTACACTAACAATACATTTTCGTAATAATAAATGGTAAAAGGTACATACATACAAACCAAGGGGTGATGATCGCACTACTTCGGAATAATAATAATTTTTATACATATAAACATCTCGCAACTTAAACACTTTGAAACATGCTAATTTTAATTGAGCGAATTCTATTAAATAAATGCCAAATATATATCTCATTAAATTATAACGTAAAATATCATTTCGAAATAAAAATCTTTAAAAGTACACATAAATTAGTTATGGCATAAAATTATTATCTAAGTAAAACAAAATCTCAAAACTAACCTAATTTAAGTACAAAGATCACGCTGTTTCATTAACAACATTTTGAAATGTGATGACAGATCTGGCAAATGTTAAGCTCGAATTTATTTATGCAAGTAATATCATTATTAACATAAGTTTTAATATATATGTACAATGAAGGAAGTTTTGTTGTGCTTTTTAATGCATGAAGTTACGTTTAGAACTTTATAAAGAAATAGTTCTATATAAAGTTCTAAACGTCCAATATCCAGCTAGCTAAGTCCGCCTCTATATTTTTGTATTTTTCTTTTGGTAACACTGTTTAATGTAAACAGGTTTTTTTGTGATAGATAAACAATTGAAATTTCCCTTTGTGTCTTCAATATGAGAGAACCTGTGAAATAATCTAATCAATTTTAGATAATTTATCAGAAGATATAAAATTGTTTATCCACCTTATCAATGATGAAAACAGAATACAGTATGTTTACATGGATATTATTAAGATAAATAATGCGAAACACAATTCCGTACTATATTACGCAGATTATTGATTCAAAATTTGTTAAACGATTACAGAATACAGATATTTTTTGTAGGGCAGACTATAGGGCATTTGTTTACATTTGTCTGAGGTAAAGAAAAAGATCGTACCTTATTTTTATTCCGGTTTTTTTTTAACAAACGTGGCACAATACTTTTGTGATTCTAAAATTTGGCTCAGAGAACCTATTTTCCTTTTTTTTGTCGTAAACTTAAACAAAACATTTCTAAATATTGAAGAACCTCATCATTATGTACTTTTCCGAACTGTTATTCCATAAAGACATTTTACAATGACATCATAACTATTTTCGCGAACAGTTTCGATATCTTCATAGCACAGTAGTAATGGACGAACACATAAAGTATCACATCAACAACTAACCATGATATACGGTTTTACTCACTCGTGTATTTCGGGGACGCTCGACTACTTGCGGACCAAAGGGGGCAATTATCGATCCGTGTAGTGTTCCACTGCTAATGTGTCAGGGCATTACACTAGTCGGGCACCCGAGAAATTTTCACGAGAGTATCTTCATGAATAGCATTCACAAAAGTTTTTATTATAACACATGATATATTTTGAATTATGAAAATTATTTTTAATTAGCTTCGATGATGATTAGTGTCATTTATAACCGTTATAATATAAGTGTTAGATAGAAGCGTATTTACACAGTGGAAAAAAACCGGAATGTATCTCTGCACTGTCAATAGATGATAAACCTTCTCATTTAGAACAATTTCGATATGCCACTATCATTTTTATACTTTCCGTATTAATACTGCAACAGTCTGAATGTTACTTCCTTAACTTACATGTATAAGATTGAGTTTATAAGGCATTTTTTTAATTACATCATTTCTTTTTAAAACATTACAGGGCAGTAATATTTTAGAAAAAAATGTCATGTGTTAACACCAATCGTATTGGAATCTTAGGGCTCATATACACAGAAGCGCAAAGTCGTCAATTACTAATCAAATTTCATTCTTTCCTTTCAGCGAGATGAAATTTCATTTGTATATTTGGATCATAATGCTTTAGTGAATACCAGCTCTTAGGTTGAGTTCCTACTGAAGTTGAATCAAGCGCACCATTGATTTACACAAGTTGTGGTGTAATTCATTGACCTGGGTGATTGTTTCATTGCCAGTGGGTCCCCAAAAGTAGGTGTTCAAACACTGTACAATTTATAATTAAAGTCATTGTTAATGCAACAATCAAGAAGACCCGAACTCGGCCATCCACGAGAGGTACTTCTGTATGTCGCCTTTAGAGACGGACTTGTTGCACTTTGAGAGTGCTTCCATGAAGTCCTGTCTGGTGACTGGGAGGTCGAGCTCCTCCTTGGCAAGTTGTTTAATTTGTTCTGGCTTCAGGCCGGCTATTTTGCGACGCATCGACATCATTGACGCGTCCCTGGAATACAAACACGGATAATTAACTGTTAATAGAAAAGTTATTTCGATTTTACACCAATATATTCATATTTCTAACAAGCTATAGCCTGACTTGCTTCGCTATGGCATGTTATGGTTGCATTGATAGGAAATGAGGAATATAGCATAGCTATCGTGAAAAATAGATAAAAACAATCTTTGAAGGTGGTTGTATGACGCGTCAAAATTTCAGATCTATAAGTGCAGAACTATTTGAATTTTTGAAGCAAACCGACTTAACATTTTATATTTATGGATTTTATTTCTAATTGCGGAACTATTTGTAAAAATTAGAAGATATAAAAAGAACTGATTTCAAATAATATTATAATGATTACACCTGAGCATTTGGGTCATCATAAATGAGGAAAGTAAAAGGATAAAAGTCTGTTTCTTTTATTATTTAAATTTCTATAGAAAACGAAGATATACACACCTGCAGACATTAGTGATATCTGCGCCTGAATAGCCGTCTAGTTTCTTTGCAATTCCACGCAAGTCTACCTCGGGATCAACCTTGACTTCTCTGAGATTGATCTGCAGCAGAGCCTCGCGTCCCTCTTGCGTCGGTAGAGGGATGTAGATGCGCTTCTCTAGTCGCCGTCGGAGGGCCTCGTCTATGTCCCAAGGGAAATTCGTTGCTGCTAATACCATCACAACCTGGAAAGAATAATATCCTTACATTTAGATACTTATTTTATTGGGGATATAATACCAAAATGTAGGTGTAATACAGAATGAACAATTATTTTCCGTTTAATGGCTATACTTGATTAGAAACTAAATTTAATTTAATAAAAAGCAAGTAATTACTCAAATTTGTTGATTACTCCCTGTTGATAAACTTTAAAACATGCATTTATTTTTTAAATGATTAAGATTGTAAAATGAAATAACAGAATGTTTAGACCAGAATGCTCATAGTCTTTTCGTCCATTCGCATTTTTTTTAATATAAATAAATAAAGTCGCTTTTTGGTGTTGTACGCTTCGATCTTTTAAACTAAGCAACGGATTTTTATGCGGCTTCTACCAATAGAGGAAGAGGAAGGTTGATATGTGGTATATATGTATTACATGCATATTATAGGAGACAAAATCCGAGAATTTAAAAGATTTGTCGTAAAATACATGATTTTGTGCGCTTACATTGCAAACACTGGCTAAACCTTACGAGATAGACCAAAATAATGTACTACGGAATTTTATATCTTAAAAAGATTTACAAAATAATTCGCAATGGTATATGTCTATCTTCTAAGGATAACCCACAGTTTTTGTCTTTTAAATATTACAAAAACATAATGAGTATTTACGAAGCTATTTTGAACAATACTATATTAGTCCTTACCCAATTAAATACATTAGATACGTTGTGCATTTAATATAAATTAAAATTGCTCATTGCTTACAGCATATCATTAAAATGAATATATTAGAAAATATTAAAGGTTTAAAATTCGGGGGCAAAACGACATTAAATGCCGGATGCCGGCAATTCATATGAAAAATAATACACAGTAAGTAAATACTTGCAGCAAGAAAGCTTTTTCGGAAACAAAAAGGTTTTGTTGACTAACTCAACTAGTTCGGATACACCTACCTACACTTTAACCTACAGATTACTTCACTCTAGAACCTGTGCCTGATTTACCTTAGCGGGTTCATCTGAGGCGGAGCCGAGCCCGTCCATCTGCACGAGCAGCTCGGACTTGACGCGGCGCGAGGCCTCGTGCTCGCTGTCCGAGCCGCGCCGCGAGCACAGCGAGTCGATCTCGTCGATGAATATCGTGCTGGGCGCGTAGAACCTCGCCTGAAAAATACACCGATAATTATATTTCATCTCCTTCTCGCCTCAGTGATAATGGAGTAAGTATTCACGGTAAATTCAACAGTTGTATGCTTCTATTATAGTGTTAATACCTAAAGTATAATATAGTCACAAGCCTGAACAGTCTATTGGGAAGATTACCACTTCCAGCAATATTAAGTCTTTTCATTTTTTTTCTTTACTTCGTTGGTTAAAAACCTCAGTGCACATTGCGGGAAGAATTATCTCATGATTAGATATTTTTAACTTAAGCAGCTCGTAGAATTATTTTGATTGTTCTTCAACCCCTATTTGGGTTGAAGAACAATCAAAATAATTCTACGATGTCAATGTTAATATAAGATACTTTATTTTAATATGTTTTGTTTACGTAGAACCTTAATTTTCCTATAATAAAACATCAATTAGTTAACAAGCAATCAAGACCCGATTTTAGTCTAGATTATTTAATGGGTCCCGACTGTTGCAGTTCCGTATTAGAATTTATTATTTGTTTTATTTTATGTGTGTATCGATAATAAAATTATTTTGTTGTTGTAGTAATTATGTTGCTTTCTACTCTTCTGAACTGAACTTGTTTTTCTTTTTTCAGTTTCTCCTTCTCTTTGCAGTGCTGTTTTTATATTAGTCTAAGCAATTAAATAAAATAAATATTTATGAATTGTATATTTTTATACCTTAATACCTTACACTTTTTAGTTACGATTACAATAAGATGGAGAATTTCGCATGCTTTAGTTACGTTTGTTACAAATTTCGTAAACAGTCTGATCCTTTAAAATAATTTTCATCGTGTGATACACTGATAGTAAACCTTGAGGGAGATCGGACTCTGCTCAAAGCCACGTAAGCCTGAACTTTAGCAAATAGGTGATAAATCGACCACAGCTCGATCTTAAGTGGTACCCTGCAATTTATATACTGTCACTGCCCAGCATAAAATTAGAGGGGGCATACGTCGCTCGATCTGGTGGTAATTACGTAAACTAGCCTGTTCTGTTATTATAAATATTATTTTTTGGGGTTATCTACAAATTTGGCAGAAATAACGTCGGTATTCTGTTCTTGTTATATAAATATTACATTATATTGCTTGTTTCACTTAGCTATTGATATTTTTTATTATAATCTAATATCTATATTTATTTACTATATTTTTTTATTAAGGTGTACACTTCTCACTTTAAAATACAATACTTTTCATAAACCTACCTAGTCATCCGCGTGTATTTTGTATAAATAAATAAATAACATACGTTTTTTAAATTAAAATATGGTCACAATTTAACAGTTTTAAATTCTCACAATGAGCCCTTTAATTTGATACCAATATAGCGTCTCACAGTCGTCATGTTGGTTTTTTTCGCGTCACCTGTCTAAGAACACTTGGGTTACCAAGACGAATCTAACGATGCTGATTAAATAAATCCGTGCAGCGGTTGGAAGATATGAGGTAATTAAGAATTTAACATGCATACATGATACGCGAGAAAAACATAACCCTTCCTTGGCAGTCAGGTAATTAGGAATTACATTTTAACAAAGATTTTTTCTTTTAACCATTTAAATCTAACCCTATCATTAAGACAATTTTTGTTAAATTTCACACAAATTTTAGTAAATAGAGTACAAAGATGGATACGTACCATTTCAAACAGCAATCGGACTAGTTTCTCGGATTCACCTCGGTACTTGGAGGTGAGTGTAGAAGACGACACGTTGAAAAAAGTAGTCCCGCACTCAGTAGCCACGGCTTTGGCCAACATGGTCTTACCAGTGCCCGGGGGACCCACCATCAGAACACCTTTCCATGGCCGCCTTATGCCCTGTTCAACAAAGAATTGATATTATATATCATATAACGTGATTGTTGTAATCCGTGTGGTGACGGATTAAGACGAAATGTCACCACCCCTATTCATTCCGTGGGTATCGGAAGAGTCGACTAAAGGAGCAATCTACGGAGGACAGCAGCACTGTAAAGAGAAGGAAAAACTCGACACAAATCGTATACCAACCCGTCTGCCAAAACCTCCTTTCTAAGGAGAGGCAGATGTTTAGCAGTGGACTAATAGAGGCTGATGATGATGAACGTGATTGTTGTTAATTTATACATGAATAACTTATTTTTTTCATCATTTTCAAATTTTTTTTGGAGTCGTCGCAATTAACAACACTGCCAAACGCCATTATTAATAGGGAATGTAATCGTTTTTAGACGGGACACAGAAGGCAAATCCATTGGGGTAAGAGAAACCGCTAGACTGGGATGACAAAGGTGACTACAGTAACCCGGCCGAGGTCACGTACCCGTATGTCCGTTCTATGATGTGACTAATAGGTCTTGAGAGTTCGAGGGTTTGAGTAAAGAGTTTGATAAGAAAACCACTGCATATTAGCAGAAATAACATCAGTACTAAGGAGTAATGTTTCGCGGGTATACAAATATTGAAACAATGATTCAAAGACTCGGGACAACTATTTATGGATCGGATTAATTGTTGTCTAGTGTGGGAATCAAATCCACAGCACCCGGCGCAGTTCAGTCGCAAGACTTCCACTTTAACACTTACCACTCTCACTCACTTACTAACAATATACTTACTTTAAAAAAGTCCGGCATCCACATAGGCAAGACTACGGCCTCCTCTAGTAGTCTCTTGGCCTCTCTGAGGTCCGCGATGTCATCCCATCTGATGTTAGGATTCTTTTGTACTATGTCCCGTTCTAGAAAAAATCCAAGAAGGAAAATAAATAGGCGCCAAAATCAAGAAGCATTATGTCACAATAAGTATTTGACGATATATACCACATACTGTGTAAGTACACATGCTACAGTCACGTACCTATACATATTAAATAACTTGCCCTGACTAAATGACTGACTCATCAACCCAGAGCCTAAACCGCTAGGGCTAAAATTTTTGGAGATTTTGGAACGCAGTTCCTTTTCGCGCGTTACACGATCTGAGGAAAAATGTGTAACAAGACTTTTGGTCGAACACTTCTTGCTATAGTTACAGCTTGTTACTGTTTTTTTTATTTGTTATTAACTTAATTATCCCAGATCATTCAGTATTTAACGTATCATTATTTATTTTATACATAATAAATTCATTGTATCATAATTTTTTCAATTTAACTTTAATAACTTGTTTTTTTTATAATATAAATTATTATGACAGTCATTATAATAGCAAACGTGTACTAAAAAGCAAAAGGAACTTCGTTCTGACCGGGGGTCCATAGACCCCTCAAGCAGTGTTTACGAAATTTCACCCCTAAAGGGGTAAAATAAGGAATGAACGGTTATGGGACGGGTAAAGAAGGGTCCGTCATTTTCAATTTACAAAAAAACAAAATAAGAAATATTTATACGAACGAAGGCAAAAGCTAAATAACTTAACTAATAATAATATTTTGCGTAATCGAACTGGTTAAATCTGTTGTTAGATACGGTTAGATATTTTTATTTACACCCTAATCAGCGGACTCGTCAATCAAAACAATTTTCCTCTGTTATAGAGCGACTTCATTTTGCAGTTGAAATTACTACTAACCAATGATTTTTTCTACTTTTACAGTTTAAAGAATTTAACTATATTGACTGTACCATACGCAATTAGTACGTATACTTCTTACGCTTAAAGTTGTTTTCTTTTGATTCAACATGCACTGCTTACTTAACTAAACTTGAATTCTCAGGCTGATTGCAAACTTCGTGTACTTTAAGAGTAGGTCACGCTCCCTTCCCACGCACAACAGATATGGAAATATTCGATACATATTTTGTAAAATATTTAATGTTTTATTCTTTTTCTTTATACTATTTTATTCTTAAGACTAATAATTATTTTCCTGTCCTTTTCCCGATTTAACATTTTATTAGAGATTTTGGCGGATTTCTTTCATGGTCCCGTATGTATATTATATGACCAGAATACAGATTTCATCTGGCCATTCTTAAGACTATCATCAAACAAATAAAATTATCATAAGTATATGGGATCCAAAGAGTATTGTGAATTCCAAATAAAAAATATTTTAAGCCAAGTGCCTGAAGAATATGAAAATAGTGTGTACAGCAAACAATCAAAGCTCGAAGTAATCACGATTGCATATCAAGTGACCTAGTTCAGTTAACGCTGCCATTATATTCGCGGGAACCCATACCTGGGGCGAACTCGTTATGTAAATATATTCATTGAGTATTTATTCTGTCATTCATGACGGTAACTTATCAATTTCAGTTTAGTTCAATGCAGCGCATGTAAAATTAATTTAGTTTGTAACTGGGAATTCAGTGTCATTAATGATGTATTTTTATTTATGGCTAACTTTATAATACAAAAGTACAATTTGACCCTTACCGAGAACTTCTACGAGATCGCCATCAGCTGCTGAAGGCGGCTCAAACCTTCTTTCATCATCTTTGTGTTTCTCATCGTCCGTGTCACCATTATTGTTGTCTCTATCTTGCCTATCCTTGCCGCTGGAGTGGTCTTTATTGCTGTTGTCCTTGGTTTTAGCTATAACATATATAAAAAAGACAATTAAAAAAACTGTACCTGCCCGAGATTTAGTACCGTCGCCGGTTGAAAAATCAAGGTTATACTTGGTTTTAAATTGAAAGTATTACGTTTTATCTGAATTGAAAATTAACGAGTCCCTGTATTAATTTGGCTAGCAGAACAGTTTTCCCTGATAATAAGAAGGTAATCAAAAATAATAATTTACAGTAGACACGTAACGAGGTCAGACATCACACTAACGACTTATCGTCTTAATAAAATCTACATGATGTGAGTGTTCAACGCAACAGACCCTAAACAATAAAATATAATAGTATGCTCGGTCTCAGCTGTGTAGTACGTGACAGCCATTTACACCGTCTATACTGTAGTGTTTGTACCGAGTTTATCGTCTATGGCGTGTTTTAATTTTTTATCAAGATTCATTAAAGTCGGAGAGCACGTTCGATGTTATGACGTTTCCTATCGGCACGTAGATTTTTACGATAATATGTTTTAAAATGCATTTACTGAGAAACTCGTTAAGAAATTAGTCTGAAAATAACTTTTATAATAAACCACTCGGCCGTGGAATGAGATCAAAATATGTTACTACATTTTGGAGTTAAACGTCCCAAGTTGACCCTGAATCCTGCAGTAGGTGGTCCGGCCACAGTTCATCACGCCGATATTGATCATTAGTGCCGCTCTTTGGGGTCAGTGTAAACGGAGATTTGAGACAAACCCGGTAGATTTTATAGACACGATTTTTTGTAGTTATTTTGTGAATGCATGTAATACGCAATCCATCATCAAACATAAACCACATCACAAAATAAATGAGTGTTTAATGCATCATACACTTGTAAATGCGATAAGAGACATTAAATATTTAAGAAGTTATCTGTATGTAATACATCTCTATAGCAACAAGCCCGCATCTTGATACTTCACGTTAAAACACTTGTAATTCTGACCTTCGATATACATTTCCTTTACATACGATTACACTCCAGAACAAAACGATTTGACTTAACATTCGTAAAAAAATATACTACCAGCTCTGTTCTATGGTTGCAATCAAGAATCATTTGTGTTTCTACAGAAGTATCTAAATTTCGTATCTAGTATATGAATAATATTACACAGGTTTCGGAAATAGACGTCAAATTATATCGAATTATCCGGTAGTTTCGGATGGTTTTAGTTTCGCAGAGTGGGTTAAAGTATTGTAATAAAAAGTTATAAATAGACTGACAACGTATAATGTGTGTATTAAATCCTCTTATCCTTAAAATCTTAGTTATTTAAAAATACCGACATCTCAACAGATGTCCAAATTAATATTTGAATTTGAGTTCATTCACCTTAAATTATTCTACCTATTAGAAGTCGTCTTTACAAATGATTATTAAAGCTACTTATTTCAAATGATATGTACTTAAAAAATACACAAAAACTACTATCATAAACGAAAACAACATTGTACAACCTTTTCACCCATATACTACTGCAGCATTATGTATACCCATATACATTAAACTTTTCTAACTCAAAATTTCATGTCGGTTACGGATGCCTTTTATTTCAGACTAGCTGACCCGCGCAACTTCGTCTGCGTCTCTCAATAGTAATAAATTTTCTCCGTTTTTGAAACATTCTTCATTGGTGCTCCGCTCCTATTGGTCTTAGCGTGATGATATATAGCCTATAGCCTTCCTCGATAAATGGTCTATCTAACACTGAAAGAATTTTTCAAATCGGACCAGTAGTTCCTGAGATTAGCGCGTTCAAACAAACAAACAAACAAACAAACAAACAAACTCTTCAGCTTTATAATATTAGTATAGATATTCGATTTTTAATTGCGGTTACGGTTACGGAGCTTCATAACATTCCTGGTATTTACTACTCGTAAGTAGTTTTCGAATAACTTTTTTATATTTCTGTAAAACTCGAATAATAAATATAATAAATGACTCTATTAATAACGTAATAAATAACGTTACATATAAATTTGTAATCTGAGAAATACTCTATTTCTATGTCTGAATGACATTTATTTCGTACTGATTCCCAGGACCGTAACTTACGATATGTTTTATCTTAAGTTCTTAAACATAGGTAAGTATTATTGTTATGTATGAATAGAGCGTTACTACAACACAGTTATACCTAGCCATTAGTAATTTGTTGAGCTCTCTTAGTACTTTACTGTTTAAAGCATTCATTATTGGATTAATCAATTTTAGATTACTTACACTATGCTGAAATAAGCTGTACTCTGTTGGCTTCATAGCATATACATAAAACAAACTAATCTATTAAAAGAATAGTATTTAAACAAGTCATAAAGGTGATGTGTGATAAACTTTCACGTCAATTGCAAGTAAAAGTGAATATTTGTCTCGTGGAGAAATCGAAGTCGCGAATTAATCTTAATTTAGCATATCGATGCTATCGCATAGAAAGTCAACTACCGACATAGTTCGTGAACAAATGAGCGATACTGAAATAGCAATAGCAGTCATGGTATAAAGGAAGAAAATAATTGCAAATCGCAGTATTACGATTATCAGGCAGGAGCTAAATCTTACTTAACAGTATTTTCTAGTAATGTTTAAGATGGCGATGGTAATGTTTATTAGTTGTAACGGAAAAATAGTTGGTTTGTCATATGTCCCTTTAATGTAGGAATTAAATTAGTAGTCGTTGAATCTCCTCGGACCTCCTCCTCCGACCAGACGACCGGTGGTATGGTTATGTCGGATTCAAACTGACTAAAAATCGCACGTCGTCTCGGGTACCAGTAGCAAGGAACCCGGGGGAAACATAGAAAGGAAGTTCCTGGTAGGTACCAGGAACTTCCTTTCTATGTTTCCCCCGGGTGACGGACCCCGGGCCATCTACAGCTTACAGATGGCCCAATCGTGTGTGCGGACCATGGTGTCGCTTCTCTTCTAAAGGGCGTGCGCGGTCCGGAACGCGCTGTCACACTGAATTTTGAGTGCTTATAAGTAATTTGTTCTATAAAATGTCTGTGACTGGACAGGTGTTATGATAAAAACATTAGTACCGACTCGTTTAGATATAAGATCAAAACGGTTGGAGTGAGAAAAATAAAAAAATTATTAATCATAACTAGAGGTATGCAAATAATTAATTTAATGCTATTATCGGTAAAATGCAATCTTATAAGCTAGTTTTAAAGCCTTTTTCATTTGCTATATATGTAGTATAAATCTTCGCTCTATCGTTTCTTTGAACTATTGGATATGCAGGTGAGTAATAGATATGCGACCTTCGTCCACAAAAGGTAATTAATTATAGTGTAGGTAAATTCGAAACATGTTTTGTGGCCATAGTGGTCGTATACGGACGGTGCAATCCTAACGTCTACTGCTTTATAATTAGTTGTTTATGTAGATTTAATTATTTTTTTATATTCAGACATCTTACAACAGCAATTTAGTTACGAAAATACGAATCATGTTATACTATATTTATAAAAAAAATCTTAATACAGTACAATATACATAATTAGTTGTAAGTTGTAACTTAAAAGCATTTTCCAAGTAATTTGTTCAACACATAAAAATCCGACCAAATATACAAGATAGATACTCACCGCTGTGTGCCTTATTCGCACCAATTTTAGGAATCCTTGCGTCAGAAGCCTTTCGTTGGGAAGTGGTTGCGTTCCGATGAGCTGGCGTCTTTTTGTGGTCATTATTTCGAGCGTGTGCATTCCGAGGGTTGGCCCGCGCAGACTTCATAGTAGGCGGTCCCCTGTAAAATAAACCAATTTTATGTACCAACAGAGCATAACGCTTCACAATTATTATCTGAATTATCAGCTGATGATTATGCATTGTTTAAGTCTGTCCAAGAAGCAGTAGGTTAACCTACAGGAATATACGTATATCGGCTCAAAATAACGGATGTACTACTCAGATATTGGTCGTTCAGTTTATTACAGACTTTAAGTGTATAGATAGCACAGGTATTTGTGTTCGTCTCGCTATATGCCACAGCTTTATGTGTAGTGTGTAGATAATGGTCTATCATACGGCATCGGCCCAGGGTCGGGAGGCCGGGCACGCCGTCATCGCGGCGGTAAGACCCGTTATGGAGGATTGGCTCGAGAGGCGTGACGGGACCCTCTCATACCGACTGACGCAGGTGATCACTGGGAAAGGATGTTTCGGGGATCACCAGTGTCTGTCCGCAAGGAGCCAACGCCTGAGTGCCACCACTGCGATGGCCAGACCGTGGACACGGATCTCCACACGCTGGCAGAGTGCCATCGGCCATCGGAGTGGGAGTTCTCTCGCTCGATAGCCTGATTGCGGCTATCGTGCGGAGCGAGAGTGCGTGCCAGATACAGAACGGGCCAGATACCGCAGGCGACTCAGGCGCCGGAGTTCGCAGAACGACCTCCGTCCTCCATAAGCGCAGGCCTGGGGGTGACAGGTGAGGTCATCTGTCACCCTAGCAGAAGCAGGCCGGGGTGGCGGCGAGCGCGTTGCGAAGCGCGCTCGCTTCCAGGGAGCAGAGGGAACATGGGGTTCCCACACGGGGGGGTCGTCTACTTGTTGTAGATGGCCCGAGGTATGTCGGGGCACCAGGGACTTCCTTCCTGGGGTATACCTGGTTCCCCGGCTATTAGTACCCGAGACGGCGTGCGGTTTTAGTCGGTTCGAGTCCGACATGCCACCGATAGGTGGTATCCGAGGGGATTTCCGCACGGGAAATAATAAAAAAGCGTCGGGAGGCAAAAGGGCAATGGCATGGTCCGAAACTAGACCAGTGTAACAATTATTTTACGTTAGACATTTAAAATAGGGCTTAGGCAAAATCTTTAGTTGTCTGCAACAATTTTAATAATACCGTTTGGTCGGTACTATTAAAATTGTTGTTAAAATCGTTTCAAGTTCACAAACATGACACACTTATAAGAACTGTGTCATGCAGTTACTCGAATTTCATTACATCTGACGTCTTGTTTGTCAATATAGTTTGTGTATATTCTGGGTATTTCAGATATGTATGAACAATTCAATGGAGTGATATTTCCGATTCCAATAGGCTTGTTTTTAGGGTTCCTACCCAAAGGGTAAAACGGGACCCTATTACTAAGACTACGTTGTCCGTCCGTCTATCACCACCTGTATCTCATGAACCGTGATAGTTAGACAGTTGAAATTTTCACAGATGATGTATTTCCGCTTATGCTTATGATGTATTGCCGCTATAACAACAAATACTAAAAACAGAATAAAATAAATATTTAAGGGGGCTCCCATACAACAAACGTAACTTTTTTGCTGGTTTTTGCTCGATATTGATATAAATATTCACAGAATATTTAGTTGTATATTCACTTTAAAAATAAATAATTAAATTAAAATAAAACAAACATTTAAGGGGACTCCGTGTACAACAAACGTTTTTATATTTATATATTTTTTGCAGTTTTTATAGATAATGGTACGGAACCCTTCGTGCGCGAGTCCGACTCGCACTTGGCCGGTTTTTAAATTAAGTTTTACAACTTGTGGTTACAAGAGTGATATCAAATTTAAAGTTATATAGTATAAACCCCGTAAATTTTAGGCAAAGTCGTGATATTTAATATCGAAATTTCACTTTGTCAGTGACAAATTAAATTTAAAAAAATTGGCTGATAAAGCTAATATTTAGTATAAGAGAGGCCTTACATTATTGACAGGTATGATAAACTTCCTTGGTTTATGTAATTGAATTGAATTGAATGGACCAGAAATTTCTAAAAATGTCTGCTAAAAAAAAATTGTGATTGTCCTGAAAACTCATAATCAAGTCATAGTTTTCCAATGTATTGTTTAGAAATGTGTAATGTTAATAATGTGAAATCTTGTAGGAAAAGCATTTTCAGAAGAAAAAAATATTATTGGCTTTAGATAACACTTCACCATACATTTCTGTAACATTGTATACTATTGGTAAATGCTAGAGGAGTTGAAACTTTGTGAACTTTAAATTGCCATAAAATAAATTTTGATAGACTTATTCGATTTCGTAAAATAACTGTTTGTAATAGATACTTCAATTTCGTTTGTGATCCTCTTTCAAACACATGAGTCTCAACTGGGCCAACTATTAATCTATTGTGTACAAATCGTTGGCAATGCACAGAGAAACACAAAAAAAAATCAAACAGACTTTACTTTTTGTTTTCTCCTTCTATTTATTTTTATCAGCGTGTTTTACATACATCCCCGTTGCGTGATAGATTTGACTTAAATCTTATTACCGTTATGTACTAAGCAAATGTTATGTATCGTGTTGGAGTTTAAATAATTTAAATTAACACCTGCTTTTATACAGTCGCGTATTGAACAGCTGTTTCTGAACATTAAACATGATCAACCTTCGACGCCTACGCAAGTTTACGAAGTGAAACGAAGATGTGTATAGTAATCACTTTTATATCAAGCCGTTACCGTGGTAATTAACATAAATGGTTATAACACATTGTCTTTTTGTAAGATGGAACAGATTGATTGTCATTGTTATGCTAGCAGCTGGCAGGATGGACATGAGAACTGGTTACGTACAGCAATGTAAATCTGTAATCATTTACTAATTCAAAAGAAGCTGTTGCACTAAATGACATTAGTAATATTTATGAAATTTAGTAGTAGCAGTTTGTATATTGAGGGTCTTTTCACGCTAACTGTACCATGAGATGTATACAAATATTTGATGGTTTGTTTTTGTAATGTAATTAATTCCAAGACATGGACCAATTTAAAAATACTTTTGTTATTAAACAACCGGTTTACTTGGACGTTACCTACTGTGTGTTAACCTGTTTAAATCTACTATCCTTTAATTATGTGTTGAATATTTCTTGGTTGGTCGAATGTCTAGTCATTGGTTTTTTATATTAAGAAACTAGTGCGTTTCTCCTATAATTGCAGTTCTTTTTTTTTACCAAAGCTATGTAAACACAGTACTACAACTTTATACAACAGTAACGACTTCTCGCAAATACATGTTGAATATGGTAATGATGAAATCTGTTAGCGTGTGGTGTCTCTGAGCACGATAGTCGTGCAGAAATTATGCCTCTCATCGCAGACCTGCAAAAATTATAACCAAAGATTCATCTTTCATTCAGTAAGAACTAGTAAGAATAGGGAATATGCATGTATTTTTTTAATTTTTTTTAACCATTCTACTAGTTATTACATTACCAAAAATAAATACAACACATCCGAAATATAAACCGTTAAGCAAAAAAATAATTATTAAAATTACTATCATTTTAGGGCAATTTGAACACGTCCATTTTGGCGCGCTTTTTTTGTGACGTCAGATTACACTTTCAGACGAATTCGATGTCAACAACGGAGTGAAGTTCACAAAGTTTCTGAAAGTTAAAAAGTGAGTGATAAAAATTAACTTATTACCATAGAAAAGCCAATAAAAACTTATTATAAATATTGTGCCGTTCCTTTGTGCCCAAATAATATCAAAACTGCACCTGAGCGTATTTTAGGTTATATTTATGTTATACGACTATTAACAAAACCATGAAAACGATCATTTAATAAAATTTATATAACTTGTATACCTCGTAGCTTTTACTCCTCTGAGTTCAGCAGACGTAAAATCTGAATTAGATGCGAAATAGGTGCTCATCATAAACACGTCTATTTTAGGAAGATTATCTGATTGTGCTTTTACAAAACCTGTTTTAGTCATTGTGTTGAGTCTTTCTACACGGGAATGTAATAATTTAACACTGAAAACGTATTAGTGATTAACTTAAAATGAAACAAAAAATCACCAGAAACCAAATATTACAAATACACACAACTTGTTGACACTCTTGACAGTGTAGGTTGACGTCACGTTTTATTCAACCAATAGCGTTGCGTTTTAGAAATTTGCGAGGGAATCTTAAAAAAGCCAATTTTTGTTGATTAAATTTCACTATTAAATTATAATAAATTTCAAAAATAATTGTATGGGTATCTTTTTTTAGCAATAAAAATTACAAATAAAAATATTTTGTCCATTTTGGTGTCACGTGCATATTCCCTATTGTTTGTTCTTTCTAAAGCCGTTAACAGGTGAAGATGAATTGTGGCCTAGTGTTCAAGAACATCAAAGTTCATTTAGAAAGTATCCTATATGCTTTATACAAGACAGTCTCCTTCCTAAAGATTGCAGCAGCCGACTCAAAGAATATCATGGCAATATTATGAGGAAAATAACTACACCACAAGATCATCAGAGTGGGTTCGCATAAATATACAACATAAAGTTCTACCCACTTGTGTTCAGCACTGATGGGCGGTGGCCATGCGTTCGGGTCTCTGTCCGGGGGCGGTGGCCATATATCTGGGTCTATTTCGTGCGGCGCGGGACCCCACATCTGATCCCTCGTTGGTAGATCTTCGTAGTCTGGAACAAATAAATCTGGTGAGAAGCTTATTTGGGTAAGGAAGATGCTATGACCAGACCTCTGACTTTTGGTTCTAATGTCTACCTTAAATTTTGTAGAAAGCTTTTCTGCTACTGTCACTTTGTCTTAACGTGATAGAATGGATCCAAGAAAAAGGTTGGTTTTGGTTGGTCAGGTAAGTCGTTTTCGGACAATTCCTAATGATGTGACACAGTGGGTAAGAAATTGAGATAGGACAAATTCTGAGCATCTCAGCATAACTGTGACACACAGCAGTTCAATTCAATACGATTAATCTGGTAATTATACTTGTCTAGTTGACATTCTTAAAAAACTATTAAAAACCAATGAGCAAGTTTTATGCATGCTACAGTCTTGCGTATAAAAACTTAAAAAGCTTACAAATAATTATGTGACCGTGACGATCGTGTTAGCAGATTTTTTGCTGTCTGTGGCAAACAAAAAGTCGCTAAGTGGATTAGTAACATTAGCCCTGACCGTTACAAAGTTCTGAGTGTTCTGACATAAACAAGATGAAACCAAACAAATGGGTCCTTTCGATCGATCAGCTTTGATACTTGATACTTAGCGTTTCGTACAATGAGTGATACAGAACACCCTTGGTGTCGAAGTAGAATAAAGAATGAAGAGTATCAACAGTGCAAATAAAAAATAAAATGTGACAGTTAACTCAAACCAAAATATATTTTTTTTATGCACCAAGTAGTAAGGAGGCAGGACCTGGATGCAAGAAGCCTAAAATTGATCTAATTGGCGTGCAATGGGAGAGGCCTATGTCCGGCAGTGGACTGCGATAGGCTGATGATGTGTGATGTGAAGTAGTGAGTAGTGGGACTTGATGCATTGAGACGGTAGCAGATATAACACGAAAATAGAGGAATACTGAAATAAGATTAATTAAGTAGCTCTTCTTGAAAAGTGACTACGAAATAAATACTTAGTGACTCCGAGGAAGCAGAGAGTGAATTGAGAATGTTGACCGACGAAAAAGATTACTCAATTTAAGAAGTATTTCACGGGTTGCGATTCGATTACTTTAATACTTTTATTTGGATTTTAGTTTCAACTGAGACTTAATCGTTACAATAAGAACAAGGCATAATACTTTTTATTGTTACCCGGTTTCGATTGAGTTGAGCACAGATCATGGTTACTGGTACAAACCCGGTTTACACATCTAAATAATATCTATAATTGCGAAAAATATGTATACTTAAATTTAATCGGTAAATTGGGATGAATAATATGTCACCACTTATTATTTCTACTAGGTTAAAGAAAATATAGAGACTTGTTATAACGAGTGTTGGACAATACTGGTATTCTTTTTATGCATTCTAATTAGTAGAGTTTAGTCTAGTTTAGTTCTAATTAGTAGAGAAAAATGTAAAATCTTACATAAAACTTAAGACTGCAAACTTAATCCAGTGAGAAGAAAATTCCATTCCATTATTGTGTATTGTTACGCAAGATTTCTAGTATTTTTAATTTAAAAACTACGCAGTAATCAATGACATAATATATCATTGGCAGTAATAGGCATTGAAAGCTCAGAGACATACTTGTGACTTTAGAGTTGCAGGTGTCCATGGGCGACGGTAGTTGCTTTCCATCAGTTGACCCGTCTGCTCGTTTGCCTCCTTATGCCATAAAAAAACTTATTTATTGAATAAGAATAATTTCGAATAAGAATAATCAGGTAATTTCAGTATATTTATAATTGCACACGTCGTGTTTCAGTATATATGAAGATTTTAGAGGATAGATTTTCAAAAAAGTTTTTTTGCAAAATTTTTGCGATCCTCTTGTCTTTCTTTTTTTTTGAGTTGTGTGTTTTAAGTTGAGTTATGTGTAACTTTCAAACAGCTTACCATAAGATAAGAATGTGTGTGGTAGAAGACTACATTTTAAAAGCCCTAAAAGTTCAAGGCTCCCGAGTGCAAGTATCCTCATTGCATGATGACGAGGAAGTTATCGGAAAAAGAAAGTTGGTTATAGTCAGAAACCTTGGGAGATTAACTCGAGGATTGAACTCGAATAGCTTAGACAAAGTAGTTCGCGGAAAACATTTAATTCATAGTGTAGACTAAAGTAATAACAAACTAACTAAAATAACAAACAGCAAATTGTTATTTTAAACAAAAAATTAAAGATAAAAACGAAATGAGTAGCGACGTTAGGATGGCTTCCATTTATAGACGAGTTTATCACGCAACATGGACGTAAAAATAATAAAAAATATACCTCCATTATTTATTTACCTTTCTCACCTTGTGACTGTAACAAAGTAAACTAACTTTAATGATAGATACATTTTACAGCCTGTGTTACAGGTTTACCGTACTACATAAGATCTGTAATAAACTGTACTAATTTTAAATGTAAACATTTTTTTAAAGATACATTAAAAAAAAAATATACATAATAATATAAAAAATAGTATGTAGACCACCTACATCGTGTACAGGGACAAACACACCGGTGGTTAGGACGCCAAAGATAGAAACCTCCTTACTGTACGGGCCGTGTCAAGGAGGACTGCCTTCTGCATCAGACCCTTGATCCAATCGTCCTCTCAAGGTGTTGGTCGAAGCTCTTGGCTATCAATCCATGAACAGATACGACTATCGGACATTTCGTGAGATAAATCCAAATATTTTATTTGTTTCTCTTTTTCAACTTTCAAGAGATTCTCGTCATGAGGAACGGCGAGTATTACTATATTTTTTATCAGTTGTCTATTAAGGCTGTTGATGATGATGATGTTATTTCTTATTATTTCCTCAAAGCCCTCTTAATAATTGACAAATTTATTACTCAATTAATTTTTCTTCAAAAGAAAATATTGCTAAGAATTCAGTTTGCACTTTTCAAAAGGGGCGTGATAAAAAAGTTTTATTCATGGATAGCAACAAACGATAAGTCCTGGTGTACTAGTGCAGTACGGTCGCTACTTATCATTCTAACAGACTAATATGATACCCGGGTATAATATTTCTTGCTGATAGAATAACACATATACACATATAATATAACAAAGTTTATCGAAAAAGGAACCATTGAAACATATAAAATGAAATTATTTCTTCAATAAAGAGTTAATTCTTCTTTAAAATATGAAAAAGGTGCATATTACAGTTTACGTAATCGCACAGAACAATTACAACGTTATCAGATACGCGATAAGTTACAACTTTATTTATAAATAACCTTTAGAAGTAAAAACACTCACTGAAAGCAAAACGGTTTTACGAAACGAATTCTAGAAATAAAATAGGGCATTGGGTTAAATTTTAATAACAATTTTGAATTGTGTTGGTACTTTAACAATGCCATGCGAGTAGTTGTTTGGTAGCATGGTGGTTTTATAAATATAATAAACTTCTTTTTTCGGTTTCCAGTACAAAAAGTATAGGTACTTCATTAATATAGTATACATGAGGAGTATAAAGTAGCTTAACATCTAGTGGTAGTAAGCGATCAATATAATCTAAAAGAATTAAATGAGGGCTATATGGATCATACTCACCAGCACAAACAACACATTACACGTAATTTTATATACTAAGTACTTATTTCGCTACAGGAAACTGCACTGTACTAGTAAAACTCCCGCAGGAGTGGGGGTTAAGGCACTTTCCTCAATCGGTAAACAGGAAATTAACATCGGCGTTCCCGTTATATAATGTTTATAAAAAGTACAAAGGTTTGTGACACGACCGGTTATGGACGTACAAGACGGCTCATTAACTGTGAGGGCACTTTTTGGTGATTACGTAAATTTAAACTTTATGTCCTAGTAAACAGAGTTTATACTGCCATTAATGGATCTGGGAGCGGGGCGATCAAACGGTCGCACGACAATTTCCAAGTTCAGTTTACTTTTACATTTAAAAGATAAGAAAAAAATGTCCCTGCACTCTTATGAACGTCGCAGATGATCAAAAAGTAGTTGATCATGCATGTTTTTTGTTGTTTTTAGAGTTTATTTTTTCATTATTTGTTGCGTTTAGTTCTTTTAGGTAAAGTTTATGGTGGATCAATATGTGGGAGAGCTTTCATGAAAAAAGACGAACGTGTAAAGCTAAACGAGAAAGTCCGAGTTGCAGATGGTAATATGTGAGATAACAGATTTTACACATTTTAGGCGATTACTGTAAAGCTCACCCGTCTTTTTTTAAACTTTATGAAGTATTTGGTAATGCGGTGAAGCGTTTATCATCAGCACAACAATTGCTTCATATACCTGGCAGAACAGTTGTGTTGTAACTTGTAAGTCAAACTTGTTGGACAACTTCAACGCCAGTTCAAAATTATACAAGGGCTAAAAGTGACTGTCCCGATTCGTAGCGTAATCTTATATAGCCTATCGGTATCAAATACAAAACAAATCGAACTTGACTGCTCGTAGTAGTTCTATAGATTAGCTCATGTTAACAAACAGACAATTGCACAAAAACCTATGAGTATTACGCTTTCAGAGTCATGAGATCAGCCATAAAATATGAAAAATAGAAGAAATTAAAAAGAGCTAGAGAAAAACATGTCTTCTTCTAGCTCTTAGTAAATGGAATTAATGGAATTATTGATGAGCCGTAGGCAAAAAAGACCTCAAATTTATAATGAGTTTTCGAGAAGAATGACAATATACCTCACACACACACATACACACAAGTCCGTCTGATCCCAAACTAGGCAGAGCCTGTGCTATGTTAACCAGACGGCTGATAAACATACTTATATATTTTTAAATGCATACATATTATAGATAAATCACTGCCAGACACAGAACAAATGACAGTGCTCATCACGCAATATTTGTCCTGGTGGGAATCGAACAAACGACCTCCGGCTCAGCACGTAGGGTCACTAACTACTAGACCAACAGGCCCGTCTGAAGAATCGATTGAAGAAGAGAGTTGAAACGGTAATAAATCAAATAGTACCTAAGATAGTTTTCTGACGAATGTTGTAAAAC